GGGGGGTGGAATCAGGTGTTCGTCAATGTTTGAGCATATTATGGAGTTACTGGTATCATCTTAAAGCATGTTCATTTGCGTTGCTTTAGGTGAAAAAATACCAATCTGTGTTGCACAGAAGTAGAAACATTTGCTATTGAAAAAGGTGGAGTCGACTGGTTTTAGAAGTAAAACTGGCAAGAAAATGGACGTCAAAGTTTGGTAATATCCATAGCTTGAGAGTCTTTGGAAACTGAAAATTTGGTTTTCGTGCCTTTAATCAAAGTTTTTAAAAAAGTAAAACTCACACAGAATGTTGTTTTTCAATGGAAAAAAGGGTGCTGAACCAAAAAAACAAAAAAACAAAAACCAACTAGAAAATTAGAAGAAAAAAAATTGCCCAACAGCCAGAAAAATGCCATTATTTTGATGAGTGCCAGAATTCACCACGCTGTAAATATATAAAAAAAAACACTAGGCACAAATAAATAGATACATAAATTATTTAAAAAACCCACAAGCCATAAATAAATCGAATTAAATAAAACATCAAGAGCAATAAATAAATTTAAAAAACCCACTAGCCACAAATAAAAAGATAACTAAATAAATTTTTTAAAACCCACTAGCCACAAATAAATAGATAACTAACTAATTTTTAAAAAAACCCAGAAGCCATCCTACAGGCACGCGCGTGTGTGTTCCCCGACTCACCATTGACTTGACAATGGTCCCCACTGTAGCCCGCGTGGCACAGACATTTGTACTCATCACCGCTCTCCCCTCCCAACAGCCGGCCCATCCACGAGGTGTCTTTGTCCTCACTGTCATCATCATCATGATCGCGATACATATCCTTATCCTTATCATCATCATCATCGTCTGAGTTGCTGTTGTCGTTTGCCTTGTGTCTGTTCCCCATAAGGTTGATACATTCTGCGTGCGCTCCACAGACTGGACATTTCTGATATGGGTTGTCTTTGCAAGGGATGGGATCACATGGGAAGCGGTAGTCTTTGGCTGTGGACGGATTTCAATGGGGTGGAGGGTAGGGTGGTGGGGTAGGGTGGGGGGG